AAAAAATGGAAAATATAAAAAAATCTTTATATTCAGAGACTGAGTCTCTCCATTTTCACTGGAGAGTCTTCACCGCAATCACTGTTTCTCCGATCGCTATATCTCCGGTATCCTCTTCCCCTGCGATTTTTCTTCTTCACTTTTGAACTTTCTATTTGCTTTCTGCCGTCTGTTTACAGGATCGGCGACGCATTCTGTGGTGAGATCTCGGTGTTGTTGTTTGGATCTCTGTTAGGTCTGGTTTTGATTCAGCTTGCTTTAGTGTGTTTATTTCTTTTTGTTATGAAATCGATTGATGGTTTAATGTTTTTTAAGTTGTTTGTGTCATTGCATTATTGTAATTTAGGAATTAGATGATTTGATCTGTGTGTTTAATCATGCTAATGATGATTGAGGTGATGTGTTTCATGATGAACTTGTGGAGAATGTTGCATTTCTCAGTGTTAATTTGTGTTGTTGGAGTTGTAGAATTGTAGCGGGAGTTGAGGAAATGGATGTGCAGAGCTCACGAATCAGCAATGGTTGAAATATGATGAGAGAAGTGATGGAAGGCATTTAGGTGGGGGGAAGAGGGTGATAATTAAGGGTTGGGTGATTAATAGTACTATGGGGTAGAAGAGGTAGAGATTGATGAATGCAAGTCCTGCCTAAAAGCATTCTACCTCTGTTCATATGTTTCTGGGTATCTATATGTTCTCTATTCTATCATGCAATCAGTGGTATGAAACTTACTAGTTTGAACTTTTAATTCTGTGCTCAGTTTGTTTGATGTTATTATGCAAAATTATATGTGCATGATTGCTGTTAATATGGATCTAGACATATTGTCCTTGAGCATAATGGATTGATATTTGGTTTTTCTTTTTCTATATTGTGTTTCATAGCTAGTTCTAACAGTGATGTCGAGCAATGCTCTTAGAGATCTCAATAGCGTACCTGCATCTGAAAGGAAGAATGATGACTCCAGTAAAGGCTGTTTTACGAAGCCTTGCAATGGCAACATGAATGAAAATGTTGAAGAGAAGCATAATAAGAACTCTCCTCTCATTAATGTTAATGGAAATGAAACTGTAAATGCTGATGTAGTGGTAGCAAATTCAGAAGTAGAATACATTGAATCTGAGAACTTGAGTGATCTTGAAGACATTGATACATGTCTGAAGGTATAACTCCTTGCTTTTCCCTTTTGTCTTTCCTTAATATTTGGAATTGAAAGTGAACTGTGTGCTAATATGGATAATTTCCTCGTTTTATATGCCAGAATCTCCTACCTGGACTTGACTCTAAAGATTGGGTTTCAGTTGTTGAAGCACTCAATAATGTACGCAGGTTATCAATATTTCACAAGGAAGTGATGTTTGATATGCTGTAAGTCTCATGTTCATACAGAATCATCTCATGACTCATTTGAAATCCTGTAATTTAAGGTATCTTTTCAAGTAGTAACATTATCATGCATTTAATTCACTCGCTATCTTTTTTGTGTACAGGGGAGATGTGATACCACTCATGGTTAAGTCTTTGAAGAATCCAAGAAGTGCCGTTTGTAAGACTGCCATTATGACATCTGCAGACATTTTCACTGCATATAATGATCATGTAGTTGATTCATTGGATCCTCTGGTACTTCAGACTCTTTATACTCTCTAGTTACTGCTTCATCTTTATCCTTTTCTTTTTGAATGATTATCACCTCACTATTGAACTACTTCTAATTATCTTGAATACGCTTAAATATCATCAAATGTAGCTTGTACAGCTTCTTCTTAAATCTTCACAAGACAAAAAGTTCGTGTGTGAGGCAGCTGAGAGAGCTTTAGAGGCAATGACCACTTGGGTTTCCCCTATTGCTTTGTTACCAAAGTTGCAACCTTATCTTAAAAACAAAAATCCACGAATTCGAGCAAAGGCATCAATGTGCTTTTCTCGGAGTGTTCCCCTACTGGTAAGCAGGGCATGCTTGCAGATTTGCTCGCAGTCATTTCATTTGTTTACTAATCATTTTCCCCATAATTTGCCCTGCACCCTTGTCCACTTTCTGTTAGTTTAATCAGTTTGAAATTAATTTCACTGCTCAATCTTTAGAAAAGATGAGATAAATAAGAAATTGATGCTGGGTTACATGGAACATGTGAAGAACTATCCTTAGTTTTCTTTTTCACATTCGAAATTCCAGATGGATGGTTTATTTCTTGATTGTTGATGTTGCAGATTGTAATCTTGTTGGACTTTCAATGAGAATGTTAATGTTGTTTATTCAAATAATTGAAATGTATAAAGTTACTGCTGGTACATGAATTTTTCTACATGGCTTGAACAATATACTGTTTTTGGTTGTAATCTTCCTAATTGTATTTCTTGGCACAAGCCAACTTTGTTTCTACTTCTTTATTGCTATTAATTTCATTTTGACAGGGTGTTGAGGGAATTGAAACATATGGAATTGACAAATTGATTGAAGTAGCTGCTTCCCAGCTCAGTGACCAGCTTCCTGAGTCCAGGGAGGCTGCTCGAACCCTTCTTTTGGAGTTGCAAACTGTATACGAGAAATCCCACAGTCACTCATCAGCAACAGTACCTGAGCATCCAGAGATTGGCTCCTGGGAGCACTTTTGTCAATCAAAACTCTCTCCTTTAAGTGCACAGGCTGTGCTTCGTGTCACCAACACCAATGTTACTCGAGAGGGTCTCGTTGTGGGTTCCTAACACAAGTTACGTGGTCCATATATGAGCTTTTTGGAAGCACTGTCTTTATTTTACCTACACATATGAGCTCTAGCTAGCAGAGTCTATAATTATTTTCTGTTGCCTTGGTTTCATTTCATCCTTTTTTCTGTAAATGCTCTTGAAACATTGAGATATCTGCCATTGTTAAGAAATTAGTCGGGTTGCAATCCTATGGACCTTTATTCCTTTTGCTTGAATTTTTTTCACACTGTAAGCAGAACTGAGATGATATACCTGATAATTATGTTTTTTTTGTAGAAAACTGGAAACTGAGTGATTATTATTAGGACCAGCTCATTTGCTCAAAATGGTATTTTGATGTAGATTTTCATTATAACTAATGGTAGAGACAATTATGTCAAATTATGGTTGATTTGAGGATGCGTCCGGGAGCTTAAGGTTCTTGTTTGGATGTCTTAATCATCGGTTAACATCCTAACTTTTTAAAATATAATTGGCTGTCATGGTAGGAAATTTGATAATTGTAAGCAGTCATTCTAATTTTATTGTAGGATTTGTCAACTCGTGGAGATGACTTTTATTATATAATAATATTGGTGAAAGCTATGTAATGGCCTTAAATACAGGTTAGGCCTCTCTACGTCTCTTGCAGGTATAGAATTTTGTGTTTAGTACATGTTTTACTGACTTTTGTAAATTGGAATCAAACTTTACTCTTTGTCTGATCATGGAAAACTTGTGCATTTGTATTACTTGCAGATTTTCTCAAAATCCTGAACAAGAAATTACCAAATATTCGTGATGAAATATCAATTCTTCACACCTAATCCCTTCACACCTCTTTAATCTGGAATTTCTAATGGTTCCTAAAACCATTTTTAGGTTTGGATTTTGCTTTTGTTAATCAATATTTCATCGTTCCTCAATCAGTAAGATGAGCTGTCTTTAGGTTTTGGACGATCCTGGCCGGTTGGTGGTGAGTCGGCGATCTACCAACTTTAATTATAGGAATGATCTTTGCTAATTCTACATTAAACTTGTAGTACGGAACAATTTGGGTCTGAGGGATTTTATCCTGAAACCTACTAAAACTAGCTTAATTTACCCTTAACTTTGTTATTTAAGACATACAGACAGAGATTAATCCCTACATAGAGAAAAGGGGACCAGAGGCGACAATATGAAGTCGGCCATTTTTACTTTGGCAACCCCACCTGATGGCATGTTGTTAACAAAGCCTGATTACTGGCTTATCAGAGTGAAGAATGGAGTTGTCTCTTTATTAGATAATCAAGTAGTCAATTTGCTCAAACCGTAACGAAAACTATCATACGACAAAAGAAAAAGAAACAATTGAAATATACAAAAAGAAAAGTCTGAATTCTCTCCCTTTTGTCCTTTCTTCCCATCTACTCCAATTAGAGGGGCTACCAAGTTCCAATTAGACAATAGTATCACTCTTTATTCCTATCATATCATTATTCACAGCTCATCTCCCCTTCTTTGTTATCTTAAAATCAGAAAAGCAGTGAGCTTTCTTTGTCTAGTTAGCATCTTCAATCATTCTTCTTCAAACCCACTTTTCATTTTTCAGTTCTTTTCATGTTTCATGCTGATGCTGTTTCCCAAACTCCATCCTCTGAGATATGAAAAAGAATCAGTTTCAAGCAGCATGATTCCTTTTTTGAGATGATTGGATGATTAGAAGAATCCAAGGGGCTTGGAAAGGTAGAAGTGATGAGAAACAAAGTTGTGGAGATTTCAACAGGGATTATGATAATGGGTGTTGTGATAGCTGTGATACTGTTGTTTCTGGGGATTGGAGTTTTGGTGGTAATACACATCTGTGTGGCTAGAAGCACCCTTGAAAGAAGATTTGGAGCTGCTGCTGCGGCTGAGATGCGTGGAAACAGGAGAAGAAGAAGCATGTCTCAGGATGACTTGGAGAAGCTTCCTTCCTTTGACTATATAGCTGGAGATAAAGGAAGCAGCCCTGTTGATTGTGCAGTTTGCTTGGACAACTTCAAGATAGGTGAAAAGTGTAGGCTGCTGCCTCTGTGCAAGCATAGCTTTCATGCTCAGTGTGTGGATTCTTGGCTTTTGAGAAACCCCATTTGCCCAATTTGTCGAACAAGAGCTGATCATGGTAAGACTGGGTTGCTAGCGGGTGAAGAAAGTAGCCGGTTTAGTGATACTGATGTTATTAATTCGAGACAGAGGCAAAGTGCAGAAACTAGGCATTCAAGTAATGACACTATAATTGGTTTGAGAGATAGCCAGATTACAGAAGATGGCCATGTCAGGGACACCGGTAATGAATCAAGAGAAATACAGATACATTGAACTCGGTTTCAGCTGGGTTCTGCAAATATGCGATAGAACATTGAAGCTGCTATATGAAATTACCTTTTATTGTAACTCGTTGAATGTTGGCTGAAATGGTCTGAGTTTACAAGAAAGTGTGTTCAAGTAATTTACACTTAAGTGTCAAGAATGTCATCATCAATACTATTCTACAAAATTCCCTTATGGGATGTTACAATAGTTAAAAACTTAAATCTCTATATTAGAGATCTCTAATTTGAATCCAATGAGGGATTTGGAAAGAAAAAAGCTATTTCATGTTGTATAAACTATTATCCGACATAAGAAAAAAAAGAAAAGAAAAGATAAGAAAAAGAAAAACCTACTCTGCAAGGTAATTTACATAAATGTGATACAAAGTTTCTAACTTGTTATCGTGCTGACTAAACTTCCTCGTAGCCCACAGAGAAATCAGGCTCATATCCGGCCTAAGCAACTGTGGCATCTTTAAGCTGTTAGAAGATGAATCGATCACACTAGTCTTCTGATAGGATCCTTTACTAGTATTCGCGGCAAACTTTGAGGCCAATATTGTGTCTCCAAGATGCTGAACATTATTAGGATTGTCAGTTAATGTCCTCTCACAGCTCCCATCCTCAAAATTTCCTTCTGCTATCTCACTTTCATTGTTATGGTGTTGTTCAGACATGCAGTAGAAGTTGTTCCCTTATTCGCACAACCTTTTTGCCATCTTCTTCTTATACCTTCTCCAAGCAAACTGAATGAAGCATGCACCCCATGTCCTCCATTGGTGAGAGTAGTACCTAAAGGCTTGCTGGAGCTTCTTGTTCTGAAGCCGCTTGAACTGATGCGCAACAAAGTTTGCAGCGCAAAAGCTAGAACTTTTGCAGCATTGGAGATTGTATATAGCTACAGCCCAAGAAGACTTAGCAGCTGCTCCTGTAGTTTTTATGATGCATCTGTTTAGAGGGTAGATTTGAAATGCTCTTGGAACATACCAACGGAGGACAACGAGGGCAAGGATATTGTTAGCATGATCTCCTCTGGAATTTGGACTGGCCGGACTCACAATCCAGATGACAGACTGCATGCATAGGCAAAAATTATATAGTTACAAAAACAAATTAAGCACTGATGAGTCTGAGGAAAAAGAACTAGACTTGCCTGCCATAGAAGTAAAGCAGCAGGATCAATGAGGAAATCCGACCTCAAGTAGCTCCAAAAGACCTGAAAACCGTGATGGTTACCCCCATTTTGTTGTGGAAATATATATAGTTTCTGTGGTTGCCAAGAAAATCATGTTACATGGACCGGACAAAATGAAATAGAAAACAGAAATGATTTTTTTAATATTGAAATCATTCAAATATTTTTAATGAAATTTTACTTTATATTTATTCATTAATGGTGTTTTGATAATTTTAATACTTGAACCTTTTTTTTTTAATGTAATCCATACGGGAAAACATGAGTTGGAAACTATGTATAGTTTCTGTTTGGTTGACAAGAAACACAATTTTTTGATGAAATAAAATGGATTTCTATCTGTTGCCAATAAATAATTGTACCGACTTCGAAACCTTAGCTGAGTTTGTAATTCCGGCCCATTCAGTGCTCTTGGACTTCCCTCAAAACCAACCTCACCCAACTCGATCCAGTGAGAGGGCACGCGGCGACCTTGTTTTTCATTGTTAGCTACTGAAGGATGTTTGGGCCTAATTTGTACAACAAACCAATCGACCCAAACGGCAGTTCGGCCCGGCTGAGGAGTCTAGATTTTTTGTTTTCTTCTACTTCTTTTTATTTTATTTTATTTCCTGGAGTCTGGAAATCAGAAGCTTCCCACATTTCTTATAGTGAAGAGGAGCACTTTCACTTGCACCAAAATGGTAAAAATAATTTGGTTATGTTAACTACCACCTAGCCAAAGTTTGTAGGAAATATACATTAACAAACCTGTTGTCTTATCGGAGAAGGGGAAGGGCTCTGGATTATGAACTTTCGTTTTACCATAAAACCTCAAATTCAAGTAAAAT